TACACAAACCGAGGGAAAGCTCTTGGCCGCCAACGCCGCGATGACCTTGCGAAGCTTCTCATCGCTGACGACCTGGCTGGTGGCGTGGAAAGCATCGGATGGTCCAAAAGGTGGTCTCCAAATAAATACCTAATGGGTCTGGTCAAATAAATACATCAAATGGGTCGTTATAATAGTTTTAACTGTATGTGTATGGTTTCCAATACAGCGGACCAGTGAGGATCCAGACCAGGCGTTAACAGTCCTTAGGTTCATAGGCCCCAACCGCCAGGCCAAGAGCGGGGGGCCCCAGATCCAAGAAGGGGCCCAGATGTGACCAGGAATCCATCCCGCCTATCGATCACTTATATAAAGGGGATGGATTCCCCCTATCATTAATCTATCTTTTATTATCTCCATTAAATTATAATTGGCTTTCTTATATAATTTAATGGAGAATATATTTATTTTTATTACTTATCATGTCTATATACCAAATTCCCAAAAGCATCCGGGTCTGATGTTTGTCAAATGGAGAGTTGAAAGTGGAGGGTTGGATGTGGGATTGAAACCAGCATAAAGTCTGAAGAGAGGCTGCATGAGTGCCATCGCCCAAGATCGTTGATGGCTTTTTCGAAAGGTAGTGGTTGTTTGACCATCCGTCATGTTAACTGGAAGTGTTGCTACGGAAAGAGCAGGAAAACGTCAGCCTCCTCGCCTTTCTCCAGCAACTGCCCAATAATAAGAAGGCGATAGATGCTCATTACGTTTCTAGAATGCAATGGCTCAAAACGCAGAGGCTGTTGCAACATCAGCTCAATCTTCTCAATTTTGTTTGCACAGTTCTTTTGTTCTACTCCTGTTCCTGGTTTGCTTCCCTGAAGTCATATTGGTGTAGCCCAAGCACGATGTTCCACAAATGGGCTGGATGGCGAGTGAATGTAAGTACCGAGACTGGCACAACACTGAGACTGGCACCTTCACGCCGTTTTGCCAGCAGACAAGACAACGGCGGAGCGTGCACCTGAGGTGGCCTGTTCCATCATCACGAAGATTGGTGTTGCACCGTTGGCCGCTCACACCTGCATGACCAAGACCTTCCTCTCCTTCCTCTATTGGATGTGCTCGCGTCCAAAGACCGGTGCGGTTGGTGACCGGAACTCCTGAGTTCGGCCGTTTTTGGGGTGGACCACGCACAGTGCGTGTTTGGGAGTAAAAAAGACTCCGTGGACTGTGGAGCTTCCAAAAATAGCTATTTGTGTGTGTGAGGCGATTCCCCAAAGTCTCCAATCAGCTTCATTGACTTGCAATTCAGTAGCGAGGTTTTGAGGTTGAAGTGGCAGCTTCCACAACTTTCGAAGGCAGCAACGCAACAAATTCCAAGTCGACAACACTACGCGTTTTGGAATCATGAGCTGACCCCCTCTGCCCTCATCCATCTATCCTCAAATGAGAGAGAGAGAGAGAGAGCGAGCGCGCCCATGTTTTTGTTGACACAACTCCCTCACACACCCTCCAGCTTGCCGCAAAGACACTGGCACCCCAATCCTCCCGTTTTGTCCCTCTGTTTTGGCCCATCTAGGTACGGCTTCCAATTGGCCTCCCAAGTCTTGGTGAGCGCCGACGTGGCCAAAGGATTGCCCCGTCGCGCGCGCTGGACGGCGCTGCGCGCCATGCGCATGGCCATGCTGGTGGCCTCCGCCACGGCGCTGGCGCTCTGGGTGGGTCGCGAGTCGATTGCGGCGGCTTTGGTGAGAGATCTCTTGGCCACCTGGCAACAAGTGGGGGAGATCGGGTGGGGGCCACTTGGTGCTTGGATGTGGTCAGATCTTTTGTGGAGCTTGAAGAGGAAACTGGGTGATTTAGTGGGTTTTCATGCGTGCTACTGATACTATCCAAATATTTGACACCAACAGGCAGTAGGTTGATTATCTGACGATTCCGGCTCCTTCCTTTTAAAATAGTCACATAGTCCAAGCACAAGGTTGGTGGGTATGGGGGAGAAGTGTGGATTGCTTTTCGGGTGTGATTTTGATGAGCGACTTGTTGGGCAACTGCCACTCTTGGGTTACACACGCGAGATCCCGTCTATTCAGTCGATTCAAAGCCTGAGCCCCTCTGTAGGAAGCAGATGCCGCTCACATTGACAGGACCCAGTGTAAGTTCAATACGCGTTCGGGTGATCTCGGACTGCAAGTTATGAAGCGAAGGTGATGGAGAGCGTTTTCTTTTGGGGTGCGACTTCCCTCGTTCCTCGTCGGTTCCAGAAGATGGGGCATCACATTGGACAGGTGATGTGAGTGCATGTGTCATGGTGGACTCGGTTTTTGCATTCTTTATCCACAGCCTCAGGAAAGAACTCGGTTTTTGGTTCTGTTTTACGTGAAAAAGTGGAACTCAGAAAGCCCATCTCCAGGACGCTACTAGTTACTAGGTGCTCCTGGCCTTGCTACTAGGAACAATGTTCGCTATTAGAAACAAAAAATAAAACATAAATTAGAACTAAAAATCAATTAAATCTAACCGGTTTGGACCACGATGAAGGTCATCCAATCCTTCGAGACGCTGGTGCCACCGGCGATGGCCATGCTTTTGATCTACGGCGCGATGTGGGTCGCGGAAGGAGTGCAGCATGGGCGAGAGACATACGTGAACATCCGGGGGTAAAAGGAAATCAGAAAGGAGAGAACCAAGCATGGTGTTTCATGGGAAACGCCCTGCCACCAAGACACCTCAAAGACACGAAACATCTCCCCAGCCTACAAGGTGCAACATCAGCCGTTGGTCCGTAGTACTGCAAGTGGGAGTTGACATGCTCAGGAAGAGGGGAAGCCCTGATGTGTGCGGGGTAATGCCTTGTCCTTCACCAAGGCATTCGACTCAATCCTGGTCTCCTCGTTTCTTTGGGTTTGGAAGGGACCCTTTTATGAAGAAATCAAATGGAAAAAGACGTGAAGAAAGAAAGTGTTCACCAACAAACCGCCAGTTGTGCCCCAAACACGGTTGAAATCTCCCCCCGCCGATGTCGTTCCACTTCACCACGCGTGAGAGGAGTATTGTATGGTTTGGGGGACTACGCCTGGGCAGCCAAATGCACCAGCTTCGCTGCCAGCGCGGCTATCTTGGTGATGCTGCTGCTCTCCCGGGTGCAGACACCTGGATGAGCAGTGAGAAGGAGGTTGGGAATGCTTGAGTGAATGGCAACTGGTCAATCACTAGAAAGGCATGGGACTATATCAAACTCTATCCTCATACATACTATGTGGGGATGGGGATCTATGGGCAACACTGAGACACAGTTATGAACTATGGACTATGGATGATGACTATCAGCGCCCAGAGAACAAATATTGAAGATGCGCAAAGACAGCTATGTTTTGCCGGGAACAATATTGATCGCACGGAGGTTGGAGTGTTCGTACGGCATGCCGAAAAATAGGGGTTGGGGGTTCTTGCCCAGTTTTGGGAGTTCTACCACGGGACCACTCTGACCTAGGCGAAAAGAGCTAAAGAAGTAGTTCATCATTTCATCGCTAAGGCCGACCGCTCCTCACATTTGGTGGAGCTTGAACGTCCTCATGTCCATCCGTGCGATCTTCGGCCTCCATCGTGCATTCTTCAGTAAGCGCTCGCCTTTGTCGTCCAAAGCAGCGATGGCGAGTGAGATCACGCAATGAGTTTCCGCGAGACTCCGAAAGCAAAGGAACGGGTGGGGTCTCATCACGGCTGACTTCCGAGACTCCAACGTAGCAACGTAGACTCAGTCAACCACCCAATCCATTGAGGACCTCATGTTCTTTGTAGTCGGGGCTTCGCGACCCAAAGAGATGCCAAGAGTCTCCGAGGGCTATTGTGGCCAGCGCAGTGCTACTGTGTCTATGGTTTCCTGGCCTCTACAGCAGAGAAAATGCCGCAAAGAATGGTGGTGCTTGATGTTTGGAGGCGTTTTGACCGGCCTCACTCATAGTTGGTTGCGCAAGGAGCTTTAAAGGGAAGCGGGAAGCCTTCCAAACGAAGATTTTGTGGCTTGAAGTCTTAGTCTTAGCTTTTTTGTGGGGTCTTTCGTGAATTCTTCGATGTGGAAGGATTGCAACTTGACGTTGGGATCGAACGTGGGAGCACCGGTTCCACCCGCCACCGACAGCCGCGCCGCCACCGATCCCCAGGGCCAGACGGTGGATCATCTCTTCGATGCCTTGGCCGAGCCCTGAGAGCGGGCTTCGCATGGCTTTGGTTGGGGCTGGGGCGAAGAAAGGTTGGAAAAGGAAGGTGTCGCCTAGTAACGAAGACGTGTCGCCTTCGAAACACGAGGGCTATCCTTTGCTCAACAAAACACCAATCTCGCTGTCTGCCCCAAGTCTGCAAGTCGGTCGCCCAGTCTGGAAAAAAGACTCGGTCGTACGCGCGGGCCCAGGCGGGTGGTCGAAGCGAAGTGCGTTGGCCGGACTTCAACGACTTCTTCCGACAGTTGGAGCCCGGCTCTCGGACCTCGATGAGAGGTGACCTCGGTGGTCGAAGGAGATTTGGAGCTCAGGAATCCTTCGACCAAGTGAAACGGCATGAAAAGCAAAAGCCAAAGATACACGGCACTGACTTCTTGTAGCATCATGGAGAACGTCCATTCTTCTACATGTCCTGGGCAGCTCCGGGGCGGCCTGTGTATGTAGCAGAATTGAGTGGATGAAGGTCCTTGTTACCAGTAGCTTCTTGTAACTAGTAGCGATGGCCTCCAACCTACTTGCGATGGCCTCCACCTAATAGCGTCCTAATACTCCCAAGAAAGCAAACAGCTTGCAAAGTCAATGTAGCTTCTTGGAGGTAATGAATCTGGACAGCTGAAACCGTTGCCTCCCATTCTGTTCTGGCAATCAGTTGGGCCAGTGGATGGCCGTGGATGGCCAACTTGGTGGAAAGCATCCAAGAACTGGCGTTCAAAGCCAAAAGCATTCTTGAAAAGGCTTTGTGACTGTGTGTTCGTGTGTGATGGACAGTCAAGGCCTTCATTGAAAGAAGATGACCTGATGAGGCCAATCCGGGTCCCAAAGTCGCGCGCACCACGAGATGTGTGGAATTTGCGACGTCACGTCGACCTGTAAGAAGTGGCTTATGCGCACGAAAACCAGAATGAAGCTGACTGATCCGTGTGTCAATGAAGCTAATCCGTGTGTCAGCAATTGTTTTTCTCAGCCCTTGCTGGAACAAGCAATATCCTCCCAAGCTTACTCAAAGCGACCTACAACCAGTGTTCCACACGACGAACCGAAAACCAAAGGCAGGCGACGGGAGAACATGTCACACCTTCCATGGCGAAGGCTCTGGCAGACCTTCGATGCCAATGCCGACGGTGGCATCTCACGAGAGGAGCCAATCGGAAAAATCCCATGTGCCGAGAGGTGTCGGTTTTTCTGTGCAGCACAGTCTCAGTGGGGTGCGTTGATGGTTTGTGGCATGGATCATGGATGGGTGCTTTTCCCGCAAACAGTGTGGCAACACTAGGGGTCCAAAGGTAGTAGTTAATTTGTTGCATTGAGGCGCTTGATTCTGCGGAGCATCAAAGATCTTCTTCTAGGCATGTTCCACCTTTATTTTCACTCCTGTCCTCAGTTGTAGTTTGCTCTATCAAGATTATCAAGGCCAAACAAAAATCCAACGTTCCTAGCACAGCCTACGGGCCTACACACTTCAGTGAGTGAGGTCCCTTACCGCCATGGCCAATGCGACCAAAGGGGGCCATCGCAGGGCCAACGCTTCACTTCGCGAGGAGTTCAGAAAGCAGTTGGCCAAGGTGCAGGCCACGCGTGCCCGAGCCGGCCGCCGAGCGGCGCACTGCTCGGAGCGGCTCCGAGCTGGGTGTTGGATCCAAAGGAGATCGGCCGTCCGGTGTCCCTCTCGTCTGCTTTGTTTCTTTAGAGAGCCTTCTATTTCCCAGTTGATGACTACTGTAGATGTTTCTGGGTTGCTTAAGTGACCAGTTGATTTGCTCCTTCTCAAAAGGTGTGGCACGGCGAAGTTTGCATTCTTGTAGTTTGCCAAGTGGTGGTTGTTGTTCGGACTGGGTCCCTGTTTCTGCGCACGTGTGTGCTGTGCAACCCTTCTGCCCTGCACAGATTCCTTTCCACCCTGCAAGGGCTTCTTTTCTGCTCACCCTGCCACGAGGGTCCTCTCTATGAACATGTCTTTTTGCCTGCCTGCGAGGGCTTCTTTTCTGCCAAGCAGGGGCTTCCTTTTTTCCTCAAACACTGTGTCCACACTGAGGGGTTCTTACGGTAGGTGCAAAAGCCCGAGTTCGATCAGGGTGCGCTCTCTGAGCTGGGCGTTTTGGCTGCGCAGGCTCGCAGAAAAGTTCCCTTCTGAGATTTCCAATGGCAATTTCTCTGCGCAGGGTCGCGCGACGGTAAAGAGCATGGCTTTTTACATAATTTTGTGTTCACTGCACTTGGTCTCAGTGCTTGGCCTTTTCTTTTGTTTGGCTGGGTGTATGGCTCTTCCTGGGGTAGGCTTTCTGGGGCATGTCCTTCTGCATCGGATCGCTGAAGATGGTCATGGCATGTTGTATAGGATCCAAGTTGGCCATAGGGCGTGGAAGCCTCCATTTTTTAACGTGTACATCGTTGTAAGTTTGAATAATATCAGCAACAGCAATACAATACCCAGAAAGCCATCAGAGAGGCCCTAGGCAGCAAATAAGACCCCCAGCAAAACCCTAAGCCAAGCCGAAAAGGCGCAATCTTAGGGCCCAAACCATCGCTAGTAGGGTGGAGGCTGTCGCTAGTAGGTCGGAGGCCATGGTTGGTGTAGGCTGGAGGCTATCACTAGTAGGCTGGAGGCCATCGCTAGTAGGTTGGAGGCCATCGCCAATAGGCATCGCTAGTAGGTGTGAGGCCATCGCTAGTAGGGTGGAGGCCATCGCTAGTAGGGTGGCCAAACCCTAAACAAACCCCAAGCGCACTTGAAGCACCCTAAGGAACGCCCCAAGCACACCAGCACACGTGAGCTCAGAAACCAGAAAACCTTTTGCGTAAGTTCCGAGGCGAAGGAAGGTGAGCCTAGGCCACTTTGACGCCCAAGCAAATCCTAAGCTGCAGTATATCCGAAAAGTATTTAAGCGACACCCCGTGGGTGCCCCAAGGTAAGCCGAAGCTACTTTACCCCCAACCTGACCCCGGAACCCGATCCCCCTAATGTCTTCAAATTTTTCACATACTTCATATGTATATTTAGGGCTCAATGGAGCCCGTAGCACAGGATTGCCTTTAAAAACCCTCTCGTAGCTTTCAGATCCCAGCTGTCCAAAAGTTTTTGGGCTCGATTCCCTCCTGGCTTTTTTTTGCACTTTTGCTTTGGCTGTCGCAAGAAGGGGATGCGCTTGCCGAGCTAGGCATTGAGGAGATCGAGCACTGGCGCACGCAGTTCGAATTTCAGAAGGGAGGCACCATCCCACGGCCGTGTGATTTGTTGGCTCCGCATGCGGCCAGGGCAACATCCACAGCAGCTCAGCGGCAAGACTGGTGAGCAAAGCTCTCCGATGGTGGACCTGCTGGAGAACATCTTCAGGTGCAGCGTGCAGGGCGGGAAGTGCCACAACGCCTTGTTGAAGTATGTGACTGGCTACGTCACAAAGGCACCTCAAATTCCGAAGCACGTGGGTGGCCGGCAGGCAGACAGCATCTGGAAACAGATATATCGCACGCTGTGCAAAAGGTCTCCGTTGGAACAGGAGATACATGGCCGGGCAATCCAAAATCTTAGCAAGCTTCACGGGTGCATCAACTTCCAGGCGCCCATTCCAGTGTTAACCACGACAGACATCTATACAACACCTTTCAATTCAATCCTGGCCAACTGGTATGACCACCATGAAGCCGACCAAGCGCAAGGCGAAGGAAGACGAGCCAGAGGACCCACGCAACTTCAACCCGGGCAACGAAGAAGATGCTGCAGAAACTTCAGCCGCTCCGCAGCCAGTGCATCGTCCGGATCCCAACCCAACGACCACCAACTTCTTGGAATGGTGTTGCTACTGTGACATCGCTTCCCTCAAGCCCATCAAAGACCGCCGTTGCCATGCAGTTCCCCTTCGAGCTGCTGGACATTTTTGTCGGCGCTTGGGCCGCAACTTTCAAGAAAAATATGTTCGAGACAGATATCTGGCCAGCCAACAAAAGAGGACGTCGCCGAGAACATGGTGCATCTGGCCGCTTCCTTGAAGCCCAACAAAGAAGAGCGGAAAGCAGCTTGGGACGCGAGAGTGGAGCAGCTCATCCTCGATGCAGCAGAAGACTTGGAGCTCCGAGGGCTCGGCAAGTCTCGGATCGTCACCTTTGCCAACCGCATCGACGCCAGCGCCAAGGTGCTGCGACAACTCGCGTTGGGGTATGAAGACCCGTCGCTTAGAACCGCAAACCAATTATTTCGTGCTCCCAAACGCGTGTGGTCCCCGCAACAGCAGCAAGTCTTGGACGCAATCGAGAAGCGGACAACTGTCTCGGACGCCAACGAGCTTCCTCTCATCGGTTGTTGCCACCCCTGTGATACGTGCCCGAATACCATTGCCGTTTCGATTCGGTGACGATATCAGCGCCATTTTACCCAGATCGCGTCCGACATTAAGAAAATGAAATAGAAATCTGGGTTCACACTCCCCTGTTTGGTAACATTCCAGGCTCCGCCTGCCACCGAGCAACCAGATCACCACATCGAGACGATCCATTCTGCCAAGGTTTCGCGCGCGAGAGGGATGCACGCTATACGACCCTCCAGGACGCCTTCGAAGTCAGCCAGATCGATGGACACGTGCGCAATGCCGTCTGCGGGCCTTGAGCAAGCTGAGCGTGCCCCTACATGGTGTTTGTGGGTGACTTTCAGCAGCTGCAACCCATGCTGCACCAAAGTCTCATGCAAGAAGAAGCCGCCCGCCGGCTCATCCGCGTGGAGTTGCAACAGCACGCGGCAGCTCGAAGCACAGATCCCGACATGCCTGCATTCTTGTCGCACGCCCGCGTGCACCAACCTTCGCGCAACTGCATCGAGAACTTCTTTCATGGCCGTCGACTTTCACGAGACCTGGACGAAGCAGTGCGAGCAGCGCTCCGCATGGAAAGGCAATCCAGCCCGACATTTACGTTTGCGCGCAGAATTCCCTGCCGCTGCAGATGTCATCGACGCACAGAAGTGGCAAGTGTGTGTCGTGGGCGACCCGCAGTCAGAGGCTGGCCATAGGCTTCGTGAACGGCAACACAGGCACTCGTGCAGATGCTGAGAAAAGACGTTTTCATTCTCCAAGGTGCCCAGGGTACCCGCATTCTCGTCATGGACAAGGGTGAAGCCTTTGTCATTCGGGCCGACATAACCGAAACTGTTTGCTGAGATATAAGCTTCGGCGCCTTTCCCATCATCCACATGTAGGCATTGTTGCCCCCCTGCCCACCCTATGTCGGCGTGTCCAGGGCAAAGAAAAAGCCAGGGCGCATTGAAATTGTTGCTGGAAAGGTCAGGTGCACAGACTGGCTCCCAGTTGGCGGTGATGCCCGCGGCGGAGAACAACAAGAGCCGGCGCCGCTGAGTCAGACCAGCTCAGAATCTTGCTCCGACAGCCCATCCCCAGATATCGAGGCGTCGGACTCAGATGGAATCGCTTCCGACCGCGCGAGCATGAGGAGCCCTTGTCACAGTCAGACGCCTGTGTGGCGCGCAGTTCGATGATCATGACGACGACATAGAGGAGCCCATGGCTGCACTGGGCCGGCCTTTTTGATTAGAGATTCAGACCGCCGCGGACGAGTGTACAGCTCGGCCCCGGGCGTGAATACAACCAAGTGGCGGCCATGTCTTTTAGCGCTGGCGTCACAGGGCGCCGCGCTGCAAGTTTTTCTTTCCGCTTGCCCTTTGAACTTTGAACCTTGGCAAGGACACGCGCGACCATGCACACGCGCCACGAAAAAAAGCGAGCGTACGCAGCACAGTTCCAACGGTGGGAGTTTTCGGCCAGCAAAATACATGTTCTTCTCTTCTTGCTAGCGTTCACAGGGCATGGCCGCGGAGTACCCCTGGGCGTGCACGCCCAGTCCACCCGGCAGGCCGCGCGCGCCGCCACCGCCGCCGCCGCTGGCGCCGCCGCTGCAAGCAATTTGGGTGATCTCTATGCCTGTGCCATGGGTACCGGACACGTTGCTGCGGCGATGCGCGCTCGCCGAACTTTACCTGTGGGCGCACGACACATGGAATTCGCCGGAGCGGCTGTGGTGGACCACGGTGCTGTATTTCGAAGCATGGTTATTTTACAGCGCCTGGCCGCCGCAGGACCCGAAGACATAGTGTCTACGCCTTCCGCTCCAATTGGTTATGAACGAATTTTTAGGACCTATGCTGGAATCTGTTCCTTGGCCTTCTTCAGCGTCATGTAGATCCACGTTAAGCATGCATACATACATGTGATCTATATGTCGTATATGTACATACATGCATACACGCACGCAGACAACTGATGCAAATAGACATGCTCATTTCCACGCGTTCACCACACACACATACACATTTGCGCGTCGCCTGGAAATAGCAGGGGGGGTCGAGCCCGGGACCTTTCGGTTCCGAGCCCGCGACGCGAACCAAAAAAAAAATCTAAGACGTTTCCGAAGGACATTATGATTCATTGTTCCACATGGTTGCGTCGCATCTCATTTGACCCCACCGGCGGCGGTCAAACGAGAAACGCGAAAGGGGTCAAACGAGTTACGCTATCTTGTTTGACCCCCCGCCCTGGGGTCAAACGAGATGCGAAATCACATTTTGTCC